TGTGTAGGAGAGGCCGAGTTAGGTTTGCTGCTTCGTCTGATTTACAGACTGACCCTGAACGTACCGTTGCCTCTTCTCTCCAACGCCACATGGATTTAACATCTCTTTATATTGTCAGGTATTATATTTCTCTATTCTGTTATTCTTATATAACCTGCATTTGTTTATTCCATATTTATATATTTGTACATTTATTTATGTCAGCTGTATGTTTGTCTGCCTGTAGCACCTCATCACCAAAGCAAATTCCACGTATGTATAAAACACTCCTTGGCAATAAAGCTCCTTCTGATTCTGAGAAATATAATAATCATATAAAACACTCAACAAACAGGATGTACGACACAAAACAACAGTTTTATAGAAGGGCAGTAAAATATTTTTCGTGACAGGAAACTTCAGCACCTGAAAGCAAAACACAGGTTTTTACTTACAGCAGGGAGCGAAGAGTTTACAAGGAGTCTTTGAAGGCAGCATGATCAGGAATCCGGACACACTGACACCCAACCTCCCAGGGCGTCATAGATGGAAGCTTGGGGTCGCTGTTTAACGCCCTGAGTACCAAGGTTATTATCGTTAATGAAATAGCAAAAACTAGGAGTTTAAAAACACTTTTGTTAACTGAAAGAAAAAGAAAAACGAGGCTTTAGCTGACGCTTTTGTCCGAAGCGACTTACTATTGTCAGAGGTCACCCGTCTGGAGAAACTAGGGTACACTGTCAGCCACGGTGGGAATGTGCTGCTTTGAAGACTGACGCTCTGCCAACTGAGATACTGAACAACATGTAGAGTAACAGGCTTTACTTGTCTTTGTCAGTTTGTCAGAAGTATTTTGGGTGGATATGAAATTAAGTTCTTGTGCCAGTTTTAGTCCAGGAAAGTTGGGGGAAAAGAGTCCCATTTGGGATTTCCATGAATAGGACAGTGATAGGGGCCTTTCAGTGGAAGGTGAGGAAATATGTGAACATAGAAGGGAAAAATCCTGCTAATTTAACAGCCCATTTGAAAAGAAGGCTAAGTTAGCTTAGCTTAACAACGTAAGGGGCAACGCCCAGACCCACTCACCTGAAACCGAAGCCAACCCCGGTCCAGGAGTGGCACATCTTTCATAGTTGTCTTGGTGGAGGGTTGTTCATATATCCTAAGTGAATACATTGGTTTATAAATTGTATAATTTGTTGGGTTTTTTTACACTTTAACTAAAAACTAGGGATGGGACGCTCGATACTGTAGTGTCCACGCTGTGTTGAGATCCCAAAGCACAGATGTTTAGGAACACTGCTCCAAATTGTCAATGTCACATGACTGTATTGTAATGGGATTCAACATATTGCGTGTAACCCTGGACTCAGGGAGACTCATCTGTGATGTGGCACTGAATCTGTGTAAATGTAACAGTCAAATATCTGTGTTATCCAGACTTCAGGGACAATGTGTCTCTGTGGGATGATATGATTGACCCTAAAGCTGGATAAATGTGTGTTGCCATGAGTCCTTCTGCAGAAGACTTGAATAAAATTCACAGAAAGACAAGTGTTTGCCTGAGCTGTTTATTTGAAAACTCAAATTGCCATCACAGTAGTGAAGCAAGGCTTTGGTGCGTTTCGACAGGCGGTGCACCTGCCGCTTCTACGCTTGATTCACAGTGTTTGGAACAAACCGCACATCAGCCTCTAACTCATTTGACAGATTTGTTCCAAGGACACAATCATTTGATTTATTGGCAGGAGCAACGTGCTGTAGTAGATCCGCACCTGTAGGCCTATGATGGCAAAAAATACTTATCTTTGCCAGCAACAAATGTTCCATGTTGCTGGGGATGTCAGTTATGAAAAAAACCCAACTCAGCCCCAAAACAGGTGAATATTTCTGAATAAAACTCTTGACATTTCACAAATGTGAGACTTTGTTCCACTTTTCATTTATCATTCTTGAAACAACTTAAACTTTACTCAGTTATGGATTTTTAATCCATTCCACCTCATCACTGAGAGCACTCATTACTACACTAGGGCCTTTATCTTTCTTGCTAATTATCTTAACACCTCTGTTAATAAGCTACTCTAATACTGTAGATATCCACATTTATTATTAGGCTACATTCTTAGATTTGTGTACTTTGTTATATTCTCTACTCACTAACTTCAACTATTATTTCTAGTCCTTTTAGGTCTTGCAAGTATCTGCAACAGAGACTCAATGAAGTATTCTGATTCTGAGTATTCTTAGATTCCCACTGTGATACATGTGTTCCTGAACAAGACACTTAACCCCTGCACATGCATGTGTGGTAGAAACGAGAGTCTATAACACTCGAGAAGCTGAAAGTGTCCGACAACGCCACTTGGGATAGGCCCAAGACTTCAAACACTTAAAACGTATCGCTCCAAACCAGTTCTGTGCATCCAAGGCAGTCATATATCCAGACACTGTATCAATACACATCAAAGTTTTATACAGATATCCAGAACAGCAAGAGTGGGAGGAGAAATGCGCCAGGGAGTGTTAACCTCTTAGATAACTGTGGCACCCAGCAGCCTCGACAGCAGCATGCACCTAGCTGTAGCTCGGTCCCACTGTGATGTGAAAACACGCCATTAAAACAGGGCCACGATAAATTGTAGCAAACAGGCAAACGAGGTACTTACCGTTTTACGGGACACGCCACCCTCAGACCCCGGCAGGGGGGCAAGCAATCCGCGCAACCACACAGCACCCAGCTATAACAAATAAGACCAGATCTTGATAAACACCAAATAGGACAAAGAGGGAGGGATGCAGCTTACAGAGACACCCAACGCCAGCATCCCAGGTATTCATCTATCCACACGGGGAATATCCACGGCCGAAACAAAGTGGGCTCTGAGAGAACGCTCATTAGTGCCACCCGCCCAACAATGCAAACACTGAAAGGCACGAAGATTTAAAAAAAAAAAAAGACTTCCTTACCACTCCGCAGTAAACTAACAACCTCTGGCAACGGCAACAAACGTGCAGCACGCCAGCCCAGACATGTCTCCACACCCAACAGGAGAAGATCAGAAACCCAAACGAGTCTACCACACAGGCTTAAAAAGGCAGCTCCCCACCTCTCCCAATCAAAGGGGATGAGCCCCAGGTGTGCTAGTGCGCCTTCCCGTGCACAGGTAAGAGGGAGGGAAAGCAAACCTCATCCTGCCACACTTGGTCACATGACAAGTTCATATGACCTGCAGCTAATCAGGAAGTGATAAAAGGCTTGCTAGTCTCAAGGGTGAGTCTTGAGAGCCGAGAGTAGGGGCACGAGGAAGCTGGTTGAAGTGTTTGGTCTGATACGTTTGAAAAAGGTTTGGAGATACACAAAGCCGACACAGGAGAGGAGATCCGTTGGTGTTCTCTGCTGTAAGGTCCTTGTTTTTTTTCCCCATCTTCTTTTATTAGCAGTATAAGCGATAATAATGTTAGAGTATTGTTAGAAAGGAGGGGGTATTTGAGGCCAATGGCTTCAGGGAGTGGAGGGGATGAAGGTGGTGGTGAGTGGCATATGGTGGTTAAGGAAAAAGGGGGCTCTAAGAGGGAGGCATCGAGGGAAAGACCTGAAATGTCAGGAGATAAAGGAAGTAAAGTTAGGAGAACTGGAAATTCTTAAGAGTTAGTTGTGCTGTTTAAAGTCAAGCGAGCTAATCAAGGAGATGCAGGATTTAGAGCAATTAACCCATTAAAGGTTACTAATGCTTTGGAGAGTCAGATAGGCAAGGATTTTCAGGCCAAGATATTATATAATGGAATGTTAAGAGTTTGTTGCAAAAATAGGAAACAGTATGATGATGCTAGAGGTGTTGGGAAATTGGTGGTTAAGGTGGAGACTTTGGTCCCTAGAGGAAGCAATCAGGGAGTCAAGGAAGTAGTATATGGAATGTTTGCTGGCTTGTCTGAGAAGGAAATCTTAGAAAATGTTAAGGGGGTCCAAGTAACTGATGTGGTAAGATTTAAACGTAGAGATGGAGCTGGGGATCCGCCTATTTTGTTAACGTTTAAAGATGGTGTACTACCACAGAGAGTGTTCCTAGGGAGTATGGTGTATCAAGTGAGGGAGTACATTAAACCACCCTTGCGCTGCTATAATTGTTAGAAGTTTGGACATGTTGCTGGATCATGTCGGGGCAAAAGAAAGTGTGCAAAGTGTGGTGGAGATCATATCATACAAAACTGTAAGGCAGAGACTCCTAAGTGCCCTAACTGTGATGGGGATCATGCAGCAGGGTTTTATGGCTGTGAGCACTTTGTCCAAGCTAGGCGGGTGCAGGTTGTGAAGGATCAGAACAAAGTAACATATGCAGAGGCAGTTCAAAGAGTGACTAGAGAAAGCGGAAATGGAAGCTCTGGGGAAAGGCCGGTGCTAGGATGCTCTCTGTGCCAAATCTACCACCTGCATCTTCATCTGACATGCTAATTTTTAGTAAGGAGTCATTTTTGTCTTGTGTTAGTGGGAACTAAGAAAGCAACTAACCGGTCAGATGGCATTAGGTTAGTGGTGGGTGCAGCCGAAAGATACCTGAGTATAAAGCAGTTGCCAGAAAAGTTGCATCAATACATGATGGAAAGTCAGTGTATAGACAGATCACAGTTGTTGAAGACTAGCAGTATGGAGGACGTTAGTGAGGTGAATGATGAGGACCCTCATTAATGTTTTAATGTGGTATATTCTTCAATGGAATGCCCGGAGTCTGATTGGAAATGGTCAGGAGTTAAAAAGGTTTGTAGATAATTTTAAAGAAGCACCAGATTTGATATGTATCCAAGAGACCTGGCTAAAGCCCTGTCTAGATTTTGTAATTCCAGGTTATGAATGTTTGAGATTAGATAGGCCTGATAGATCAGGCGGGGGTTGTGCAACCTTTGTTAAGACTGGGGTACAATATAGAAAAGTTGACATTAACTCTGATATTGAGTGTTTGGCTGTGGAGGTTTGGAGCAGTCACAGCTCTATTACTGTGATAAATTATTATAACCCTTGTCGTTAAATTTAGAGTAGTTTCTGTTTAGTTAATCAGAACGGCCGCATTGTGTCTGAACTTCACTCGTGTTACAGAAAGAAACATTTAACCAACTGTTTCTGCTTGCTATTTTACTTTTCAGCCCAGTCTTTGTGCATGTTTCTAAATGTTTTCAGTTTTATCACACTGAAATTTAGAAGATCTTATTCAGCTTTATTGTCATCACACACGGTCAGCAGCAGAACAAAGAAACACAGTTCAGCATCTAAGCAGACAGCAGATATAAAAAGAGAAACTAACATACAGAATGAAAAGTGACCTGATGAAACAGAACCAGACTTTCTGTCTTAGTGAGCCAACTGGGATTAATGACACTTGTGAGAACTTGAAGACACCTGTATATTAATGACAGGTGTGTAAGTGTCTGACATGGTGGCTTTGATGGTAACAGCTTCACCTGGGTAAGTCAGATATTCTTTAGCTTTACCTCTTTTAAACTCTTTCCCTTCCTTGTAATACATCTCTTCATAATGTCTGTCGTCACACTCTCTCTTCTCATAAAAGACTCCCACTGCAAACCAGTTAGAGTACAGGTTGAAGTCATAAGGAACAGAGTACATGACGGCCATTTTTCCATCACATTTCTTTGTAGATTCATTCTGCAGATCATAAGTGAGGACTCCAACAGCTCCACACGCTGTGTCTTGACAAACAGAGCGCTGCCAGATTGAAGATAACGAAGGATTGGTGGCAGAGGATGCCCACAGGATCCACTGTAAGTGAACACACTGGGAGACAGACAGAATAGACATTTCTACAGACGTTTCATTTCACAGCATCCAGTACAGACATTATACCAGGTTGTGTTTAGCCTAGCTTAGCACAAACACTGGAAGCAGGGGGAAACTATTAGCTTAGTTCTCAGCTGTTAGCAGCTGATCTCAGTCCTCTCATAGAAACATTTAACATCAGACACTCAGAGAGAAACTAAAGCAGACTCACTTCGGGTTAATCAGGGTGAGCTATTATTCACAAACTCAACGGTGCACTGACGGGTTGCCATGATGTGTTGAACCTGCAGAGGGAGACAGAGCAGCAGACAGACTGTTCAGACTTCATGTGAGTAAAGTGAAATGCCTGTAGTGACTCTAACAGCGTCTCTGTTCTGTCAGACGCACCCTGAAGGCAACACTGGACAGGATGTGTCTGATCTTTCTGTCCTTCTGCTCGGACAGATGCTGACTGAACCAGCTGCAGCCTTTCACTTCATGTTTCCATGAGTCCAGGACTGCAGCCTGCTCATGGTGGACTGCACCAGTCAGGCTGGCTGCTGAGTTACTTACTTAGTTACTTAGTTACTTAGTGACCTGTGAAGCTCAAGTGCACACACAGCCTCTCAGTGAGGAGGACGTCCTACCTGCTGTGGAGCCTCAGAGTCTCTTGTTGATCTTCCTCAGGGATCCAGCTGAGACCAGGACCGAGCTGTGAAGTGACCCTGATGCGGTCTGCCGCTCTGCTTTTATTGGCTGTCTACAGTGAAGGAGGGACTCCGGTGATCGTAACAGCCTGGACACGCCCACATTACCGAGGAACAGAGGAGCTCTTTCTGTAGAAGAATGAACCGACAGCCTGTGGAGACTGGACTGTGTGAGAACAGCCACAATAACGCTTCAGGTGATGAAAACAAGAGTTACCACGACAACATCATGTCTGGTCTGAGGTGCGTTGATGTCCAACCTGCTGATCCAGGATCTGTTCACACCTTCAGCTGGAAGAATGAAGTCGCACCTGTTCAAAGTGGATTCTCTCCCTGGACTGTTGCTTCCTCTGTGCAGTTTCATGTTTGAGCAGTTCATGAAAATGATCATGCAGCAACATCAGAATGTAAAAATATTCTGTTCCAGGGGAAAGACTTGTATTCAAAGTCTTACTGAAGTAAAGGGACAAAGCCAAATGGACGGACAGCATCCAAAGTAAATGTACCTTTATTTGATAGGACAGTGGATAGAGAGAGAGAGAGATGGGGGGCCACATGCAGCAAAGGGCCCCAGGCTGGATTCAAACCTCGGGCTGCTGCAGTGAGGACTCTCACACTGCACCAGCTGAGCTAACGGCGCCCTGTAAATGTCCTCGCTATGCAGCAGCGTGGTTTGTCTCTGTTATCATATCTACTGTATGTTGTTAGAGGTGCAAATCCTCAGGGGCCCCAAACGGCCCCAGGTTAACTGTGATTACACTATTTTCTCTTTAATGTCAGATCAGTGGAGTAAAAAGCAGGCTACAGTTTTTACCTCTGAAATGTGGTGGAGCAGAAGCAGAAAGTTCCATCAAATGGAAATACTCTCACTACTACCTCAAAGTAGTACAAGTTTCCTCAAGTACAGTACACGTGTACTTCATTACATTCCTCCGCTGGTGAAGAGGTCCAGCTTTGGTTTATTAGTAGCTTGTTCCCCGTTTCTCCTTTAATTGGAGTCATTTGACGTCAAGCTTTGGTCCGGATCATGGAGAGCATCTGACATTTATAGATAAGCTGTTGGAGAACAACTTCTCGACCTGGTCAAGATGGGCAAAGTAGTGCAGTGTAACATGTGGTTTCAGGTAAAAAACAACAAGAGTTAGTGGTTAATGACACTGGTACTGCAGCACCCAGAAATAACAGTTAACAATAAGCTTTGATCAGATAAGTGGACCCCTACAAAATAAATACTAAAGTTATGAACAATACAGTAAAGTAGAGAATATGTTATTATTAAAAGCTGAGAGGAAATTTTCAGCACTGGCTGCTGGAAATGTAGGGGAGGGGGGCTATAAACATAACATTTCTCTTTTTTAGAGGGGACACAAATAATCCAGCCAGAAGTGTACTTGTAAAGGATGTGTGTACTCAGAGGAAAGCCTTCCTACTGTTATTAGTGCAGCATGGAGACCGTGATGTCACCAGATCACCTTATTATGGGGACTCCCTTTGTCATTTTCTCTGTCCAACAACACAAAGTGATGGTTGTTGTTGTTGTTATTATTAAATTTCCTCCCGTCCTCCACAAAGTATTTTAGGTTACGTCTCTTGCTCAGATATTCAGCTGCAGGAAGCCCACTGAGCTGCCACATCATGCTGAGCAACACTCAACACAGCGAGGACGCTGCCAAGTGAGACTGCTGCTGCTGCTCTACCTGTCCAAGGTGAAAAGAGGAACTACACCCACATTTCCAAGGAACAGAGCAGCTCTTCCATTAAACTCCCACACAGGACAGATTTCTTCAGAGTACTCTTCATAATATACCAACAGCAGTTTCGGTGAAGCAGTCAGTGGCAGTGAAAGTCTTCGTTCTCACGCTCCTCCAACAACGCTCACACATAAAAATACTTTTAAACAAAAAAGGAGCTTTTTCCCAGCAGTGTTCCCTTTACACAGCAGCAATAAAATATTTCTTGTAAATCTCAATTTAAACATTAATGTGATCAAATCAAATAGTAAAGCAGAGCTGTTTGCCGCTGCCAGGACATTACCTTTTATCTAACTGGTTGAAACAAGTTCAGAGTCCAGTTTTCCTGGGGGGGGGGTCTGAACAGGCATCAGCAGGTATCTTTTATCAGGGAGCAGCAGAAACAGTCTGTGCTCAGTAACAAGTGTCTCTGTTGAAGTGAGGTGAAGTGGTCGCCTCTCGCCAACCGCTACAGATGTTGAATTGTCTTGAACGTTTTGTATGCGACGTGCAGCACAAATCATTGGCAGAGAGACACAAACACAAACACACACGCTTACTGTTTTATTTATTTTAATTTTTCTTTTCTTTTTTAAACAGAAACACACACTTTGATTACTTTACGCTTTAATTGTTTAATGAAATGTTTGGGGCTGATTGTTCTTATGCTGTGTAAATATGGTGCTTTGGCAATGTTGGGGAGAGAGAGGGGGAGAGAGAGAGAGAGAGGGGGAGAGAGAGAGAGAGAGGGGGAGAGAGAGAGAGAGAGGGGAGAGAGAGAGAGAGAGAGGGAGAGAGAGAGGGAGAGAGAGGGGAGAGAGAGGGGGAGAGAGAGGGGAGAGAGAGAGGAGAGAGAGGGGGAGAGAGGGGGGAGAGAGAGGGAGAGGGAGAGGGAGAGAGAGAGAGGGAGAGGGAGAGAGAGAGAGGGGGGAGAGAGAGGGGGGGGGAGAGAGAGAGAGAGAGAGAGAGAGAGAGAGAGAGAGAGAGACTGACTGACTGACTGACTGACTGACTGACTGACTGACTGACTGACTGACTGACTGACTGACTGACTGACTATATATATATAAATATAAATAAATAAATAAATAAATAAATCCGTGTCCATTTTGTGGAGAATCACCTTTCTCTCTAGATCTCCTGTTATGGCCCGGCTCAGAGGCCACAACAAATAGAGGAAACCGTTACCAGAAAAGGATGTTTATGAACAAAAGTAGCTCAATTGAACAAATATAACAAATCATTTTAAAGCTTAACAGATGTGGCTGGCAAAACAGAATTAACCAAATAAATAACAAACCAAATAAACAAAAGCACAACAAAGCAACACGCTGTGGTGCTGCTGGGGACCAGGAAAAAGCAAGCTGTCAAGGGCCCGGGGCGGGCTTTAAGCAGTCTGGAGACAGTGGCCAGCTGCCTCCTATCGGCCTGATGGCCACAGCTCCACTCCAGCAGGAAGTTCACCCTGCAACAAAACGCAGACAGAGAGACACACACACACAAAGAACCCGGCCGAGGCCCCGGGGCCGTCACATTAATCCCACCCCCTGCATAGCTGCATTCACAAACTAAGATGTCCGGACATTAACGGTAAACACAAGTCTGAATCATTCGGTTCGGACTTATCATCCTGCCGGCTCCCTGCTACAAATCATGTGTCGTGTTTGATTAAGGCCACGTGCACATGGAGTGCATTGTCCGTAGGATTCACAGAGAGTGGGGGCTAATGACATTGCACGTGGAGCCACTTTACAGTCTTTTCTACTCACATAAAAGATTTTAAACATTAATATAGCAGCAAATATAGTGGAAGAATGTTACGCAGTAACTCCTCAGTAACTGAGCGGAGGTTAATGTCGCACTCCCTCTGAGTCCATTTAGACAGTCTGGTACACACTTTGTCCAAAACACCCTCCCAGTTCTTTCTCTCAAACTCCTCTGTTCCCAGAAACACACCCAAAATCTTCATACCCTGTCGTCCCCAGCTACGATTTCCTGGTAGCGTTGGCGTTTCTTGGCCTTCCCACTGCCCAACCTGCAATGCCCCACTTTTTCCCCAGTTTACCTTTGCTGAAGATGCCCTTTGGTGCTTAAGATCTCCACATCCCTCTGATCTCTAACAAAAACATTAAAGCGTGTGTTAAAATAATAAATATATAAAAATTTAAATATAATAAATAAAACATTAAAGCGCGTGTGTGTTAAAATAAATATATATTAAAAATTAAAATATAATAAATAAATAAAACATTAAAGCGTGTGTGTGTTAAAATAATAAATGTTAAAAATAAAATTAAAATAAATAAATAAAACAGTAAGCGTGTGTGTGTGTGTGTGTGTTAAAATAATAAATATATTAAAAATTAAAATAAAATCAATAAATAAAACAGTAAGCGTGTGTGTGTGTGTGTGTTAAAATAATAAATATATTAAAAATTAAAATAAAATCAATAAATAAAACAGTAAGCGTGTGTGTGTGTGTGTGTGTGTGTGTGTGTGTGTGTGCCTGGGTAAAGAGCTGGGTCTTTAGTAGATCTTTGAAAGAGTCCAGAGAGGGAGCATTTGGGATCTCTGTGGGGATGAGTTCCAGAGGGGGAGGGGGGGCTGTGACGCTGTGAGTCAGGTGTGAGGGACAGAGAGCAGGCCCTTGTACAGGGGAGATGTTAGCTAGCGCTAACAGCCTTCACTTTTCCAGCAGTGGAAAGACTTTTATTAACGGACACACAGTGACCTACGCTGCACGTTTACTACCAGACAGAAAGTTACTGCTAATATTTTCCTGCGCTAACTTTCACCGTCACGTTCTGATGCTCGCTCGCTGTCACTCGCATTTGTTAATCGCGATGCATCTAACAATTGATTATTCCTCCCACCCCTATTATGCGCACAAGTCTATCCATTGTGCCACAACTGGTGCTGTAGCTCTACTCATGACAATGTTGATTATGTGGGTCATCGTCATGTCAAAACTTTTATGTCTCCAATACTTTTATGACCCGTAAGTGTTAGTTGTACTTAGTGTTTAGTACTAATTGACAAATGTTTGCATGTTAAGCATGCTTACAATTTGACATCAGCATTTAGCTCAAAGTACCTCTGTAGCTATAGCGTCACAGGTCTGATAAATAAACCTCCAGTCACACTTATCCAATACCAGTAAGTCCTTTTTCAAATGTCTCATTTTGTCTGTGCCCAGCATGTGTAATATGTTTTGCTGATTTGGGCTATACTGGTTTATGTTATGTTCATCCTCAGAGAAGGTTGTTAGGCCAGATGTTTATTCTGAGACTACAGTTTTGTATTCACTGATCAACTG